GGACACAACCCTGTGCTCTGGGTGTCCTTAGCCTCTTACTGCAAGAAGCTGGGAGCGGTTGACGGAACGGATCACTTGATAATTGCCCCGAACTGTTGATTCCCTTGGAAGCATCTGGGTCTGGTCGTTGTCAGAAGACAGAACACAGGACTAGATGGACCCCTGGTCTGACCCAGTATGGCCGCCATTATATTCTTATGTACAAACCTAGAAGGAGACACGGTCCGTGCCCAAAGAGCTTGCAGTCTGAGCAATAGCACAGTCAGCCATGCATGCGAAGGTTAGGGAAGGGGGTGACTGCCTGGGTTTGGACCTACTTTAGTGAAGAGCAGTGCGAAGGAGTGGCTATTCTGGTGCAAGGAGGAGGGTCATTGATCTAGGCCTGGAGGTGAGACGGGAGCTGAATGGCTTTGTCAGGAATCTGCAGGGTCTGGAATCATGAATTAGGCTGTGGGTGAGAGCCTGTCAGGTTAATGAGAGAGGAAGGCTATCGCGTGGGGGATGCTGGATGGAATCGGAGTCTAATGGAGTGTTGCGGGAAGGGGGCAAAGAAGGGGACTAGGGTGACAGAAGAGGGGGAGCCAACACTCCACGCTACAGTGTGTGCTTGGGGGAGAAGGGAAGGAGTAGATGGCCTGAGAAATCTTCACCCTTTGGAAACTTGGTGTCCAAACAAAAGTAAAATGCAAATGTAATAGACATTCTTTAAAAGTGTGTGTGTGTGTGTGTGTTCATTCATAAACAGCTGCTTTGTGACACAAATGAATACGTCTATTGTCATGGGGTTTAAAGGTTTTTTTCTGGGGGTTGTACAAAGTGAGCCCTGTTTTGTTCTCCAAGGCGCTAGCTCTGCTTGCATTGGTCTCAGATGAGCTTTTATCCCCCAAGCGGGCTATACTGACATCAATGAATGCTACAGAAAATCAACCACAGACACCTCTAGCTGGCCATGCTCTAGCGAATTGGAAAGAATGTGCTGATATTAACTAGCAAACTGCAGGGGATGCAAACTCTCTGCTCATGTTCAGGCAAAGCGTGACCCATCCCTGTACCGCACCCACCTGGCCAGACAGTTCCTAGGGAACCGTGTATACCTGTGCGGCATGTCTCCTGAGTGCTGTTGCCATGCTGGCAGGGGAGGGGGATGGGACTTCACTAACAGAGAAAAAACTTGAGAGCCAATTTTTGTGCTTGTGGTGGGGTAAAAGTCCAGTAACACAGGAAATGCACCTGTCCATGCTAGCAGAGCCTTTGGCCCCTCATCCCAGAGCAGATTTGGAGGGCTTAGCTATACTGGACTCTATAGTTTGGAATGAGATATCAACACAGCTGGAGATCTCATTTAATATCTATGACAAGACCCAGCAAAATCACCCAGCTGAACAAGAGGAAAATGCCTTGAATGACTCATAACAATTGGGATGGCAGCAGTGGCTCGCTCTCAGCCGTATGAGAAAACAGTTTTCCAGAGCAGACAGCCTCGTGGTCAGCCCATCTGGAGGAGCTAAGGCAATTAGTTCAGGAGTTCTCATCCTTACCTCCTCTTTCCCTCGCTCTGCCCCCGGTGCAGCTGTGACCCAGAGACCTCTTGGTGCCAACTGGAAGAGCAGGTCACAGAGTGTTCGGGGGGAGGGATAGCTCAGTGGTTTGAGCATTGGGCTGCTAAACCCAGGGTTGTGAGTTCAATCCTTGAGGGGGCCATTTAGGGATCTGGGACAAAAAACCTGTCTGGTCCTCCTTTGAGGAGGGAGTTGGACTAGATGACCTCCTGAGGTCCCTTCCAACCCTGATATTCAATCCCCTAGGTCAGAGAGAGGCATATTAAGTTTACCAAAGGATGGCATGTGAGATCTTTACCAAGAGCCCGCTGGTGGTCATAATCCATTGCAAAATGTATGGACAGAGAGTGTGGAAGGAATTATGTAGCTATACCCAAAACTATGTTCTTAAGCTCTGTGATTGTGTATTGTCTGCTTCACAATGGGGGCCTGTCCACAGGCTGCGCTGAGTGCTGATCAAGGGATTGTGAACTTGAGAAGAAAGAGGCACACAGGAAAGAAACAGCCAACAGGCAGGTGTCCTGGTTAAGAGTAAAGCTGATGGTTTGAGGTGGGGGTAGAACTGGGGGTACAGAGAAACACCCGGGATCTTTTCCACATACTCACTTCCTCTGGGGTTCCTTGGCTTGGTTGAGGGACTGATGCTGTCAGTGTAGGCTGACTTGGCTATTGCTGGTGCTGGGTCTTATTTATCTCTTCATCTGACCTTTCCCTCCCCACTGCCCCCCAAGTAGGGGACAACAACATGTATCAGAACAGTTTCCACCTGTTCTATCCAAGTGTGGAAAGTGAGTCTAACTGAAGCAGGTCTGGCTGCCAGAACTTGTCTGAGGGCTTGTCGACATGGACACTTAGTGCGTGGCAAGCTGGGGAGTAAATCAGCCTCGCACAAGCCTGCCACTCACTAACTGTCCGTGTGGACCCTGCTGACACACACTAACCATGCCCTGCTGTGAAATGGGGGTGGATAAACGCACCAGGGACTTGTCAGTGCGCGGCAGCAGGGTCTGCATGGGTACTTGGTGCACGGCGGGCTCGGGTGGGCTAGATTTACACCCCAGCTTGCTGTGAATCAAATGTTCGCACAGACAAGCCCTAAATGAGGGCTCCCAGATAACTCAATCTCTTCTGTTAAACTTTTTAAAAACAAGACTTATTGCACTAAAGAAGGCGGCGCGAGCTCTTGGCACTGAAAGGGGAGGTGTCTCTCTGGGGGCTTTCTGCAGTGCCTTCAGTCTAAGCACCTACTGGTTCCACTCTGAAAAGAGACTTTGTGAAACTGGCACCAGGGCTTCCATGCTTATGGTGTGTGAATGATGCCTGATCAAATTGTCTCAGTTTACAAGTAAAACTGTTTATTTTCCCATTCATCTTGGGATCTGAAAAGCCAAGCTGACTTCTTCCTGCCTCCTACTTAACAGTAAGAACAATTCTGCTGCCCAATAATGCTCTTAGTTACACCTGCAAAGTCCCTTTGTCCTCTCATGTTAACTTGTACCAGGTGCCCAGGTGTCAGTGGGGCCATGCAGATGTAGTGGGAACTCGTGTAACAATTCTGCTGGTGAGACGTTATCCATCTCTCAGTTGTGATGGCTGTGTAAGACTGATAGTAAAAAGTAGTTTTAAAGAAACACATATCTCTTATTTGTCCCTAAAGTAAGCAGGTAGGATTATGAATACACACAGGAATTGGACCTGCTGAGAAAGATGCCCTTTTGACATAATCAGCTTTCAGAGGAGAACCGCACTTTAGCAAGCAGCTAAAGCTAACTTTTTTTTTCCAAAGCAGGTGTTTGAAATGGCTGTGTGTGTGTGTGTGTGTGTGTGTGTGTGTGTGTGTGTGTGTGTGCGCGTGAGTGAC